CCAAGTGGGGTTTGGCTGTCCTCTTGGGCAGGGGAGGCTTTGTCGTACCGGTAGTAGGGCATCGTTTTTAAAATAATTGGCTTTGCCTTTGAAGGCGAAGGGAAGGCGGCGACAGGAACGCCTGAAGCCGAGTGTCTCCGCAGGGCTCCGGTTGCAGGGAGGAGCCCTGGCTGGCCATGCGTGGCTGCACCAAATCTCCTGGGGCCGCAGCGCAGGATCGGCCCACCCTGGCATTGCTCTAAACGCCGCGGCAGCATGGGGAGAAGGGAAAGCAAGGGTGGCGGAAGGTCTCCTGATAGAAAGTGCCCCACCAATGCCAAAGTCAACGCAGGCAACACTATATCTGGGTATGCAACAAAAGTACTTCCTAACGGCAAGCCCCCCGTGCCATTCCCCCCCATTTTGCATGTTTAATATAGGCCTTAATTTGGGGGGAGGGGTTTCATTTGATTTTATGCCGATAAAACATGCTAGGACTTCCTATTGGGGGGAGGCCGTATTGTTGGAGAAACACGGTATATACTGCTTCACAGTGCTTTACAGCCCTCTCTAAGCAGTTTACAGAGCCAGTCTTTTGTCCCAACAATTTGGGTCCTCACTTTACCGACCTCAGAAGGCTGAGTCAACTTTGAGCCGGTGAGGATAAAACTGGTGGCAGTGGGAAGAGTTTGCTGCAATAGCATTTATACTTATATACTGCTTTGCAGTGCTTTACAGCCCTCTCTAAGCGGTTTACAGAGTCAACCTATGGCCCCCAACAATCTGCGTCCTTATTTTACTGATCTCAGAAGGATGGAAGGCTGAGTCAATGGTGAGGATCAAACTCCTGGCATTTGGCAGAATTAGCCTGCAATACTGCATTCTAACCGCTGGGCCACCATGGCAAAGACTGGTGATGAGTCACTTTTTTCAGTGCTGTTGTAACTTTGAACAGTCACTAAATGAATGTAAGTTAAGGACTTACCCGTACACTGAAAATACAAACACCCTCCTGTTGAACTTCAATTTCAAGCTGAACCTGAAAGACGCATTTGTTCCAAGCTAGCATTCTGAGGAGCTGGCTATAAGTCCTTCATTCATTGATTGTCACTTTGCGAAAATATCTCTGGGAGTGATAAAAATATGTCAAATAAAATATATACAGGAAAAAAAAATTATTTTCCCAATGGAAAGATCTGCCAGCAGGTCAAATATGTGGGCATGTATGTTTATGTGTAATAAGAAAGATTTATAATGTCAAGTTTTCATCATTATGAAACACACCCCTGAGTAGAAATGACTTCAGAAACAATCTTAAGAACAAGGAGAGTGTGAAATTGAGAAAAAGCCTGCTGGGCTCAGCAGAAATGTGGCCATAATGCTCTCAATTACCAATTGGACCTTCACTAATTAGGAAGAGAGATAAATTAATTAGTGAAAGAGACAGACAGACAAGGGCCCTGGAGCCTGATCTCAATTTGGAGAAAACAGTGGTCCTCAGGGTAATCTGATTCAAAACTGTTGAAGAATTTAAGGTGATATATCGCTCATGGGATGTCATAGCTCCCTTTTAAGCATTGTTAGTACACAAGGGTGTCCCATCTTGGCAACTTTAAGCTCCCTTTTGAGCATTGTTAGTCATCCGGGGTGTCCCATCTTGGCAACTTTAAGACCTGTGGACTTCAACTCCCAGAATTCCTTAGCCAGCACGGCACAACCTTAAAGGTGCCAGTGTTGGACACCTCTGACTTGAACCAAAGTAACTGTACTTACAAACATGATCTGCATATATCAATGTAAGCCTTTTCATAGCTTTGTTAGGCAAAAACATTAATGTCCCTTCAAAACGGTGCACTGTATTTAGATTTAATATGTTTAGTTCTATCTCTTTAGTTACAGGGGTATCAAACTCGCATCGTCACGGCATCGTCACATGACATATGGCGACTTTCCCCCCCTTTGCTAAACTGGGAATGGGCGTGGCCAGCATGTGATGCAACTGGTCTGTGGGCTGCGAGTTTGACAGCCCTGATCTAGAAGAAATTTCCTGACAGTGAGGACAATTAACCAGTGGAACAACTTGCCTCCAGAAATTGTGGGTGCTCCATCACTGGAGGTTTCTAAGAAGAGATTGGACACCATTTATCTGAAATGGCATTGGGTTTCCTGCCTGAGGAGGGGGAGGGGGGTTGGACTAGAAGACCCCCGAGGTCTCTTCCAACTCTATTAATTTATTCTATTCATGTATTCACAGTGAGGCTGAAGTATTGTTATTTATCCTTTTTATTATCTGCAAGCATATCGAGTGGTTCTATACCGGAGACAAATTCCTTATGTGTCTAATCACAATTGTTCAAATAAAGTCTTCAGTTTGATTTGATTTGATTCAATAATAGCACCTTTATAAGCTATTTGATCTCTGCTGGTTAGTCATTCAGTGGCAGCAAAGATGTAACTAACGCTTTTTTTGCCTGTCTCTGTGTTCTGCCCCATCCAGATCGCGAAAAGAGTGATAACTTTGCTGAGAAGAGACCTCTCCTTGCTGTGTGCAAAAGCATCGGATCTTCTGGGTAAGATGATCATTCAGAGGGGGTTGCTCTGTGGCCTTGTTGGCTTGTTATAAGAAAGAGAGCAAGGAGCCCAGTTAAGCCTTTAAGACTTAATTGGCTCATTGTGGCAAATCCTGTGTGCGCCAGAGCTTGTTCCTAACTGAGGTAGAGTGTGAGCCTCTGTCTGAGATGAATTTGGGGCAGGTCTCCAAAATACGGCTGCTTCACAATATATATTTTTCTGAACAAATGTCACCATCCTCGCCCTTGTAATTAATTATGGCCTTTGATATCCCTTTCCTCCTATAAATTTTCTGGTTTCTGTAGTTGTAGATGCTGGTAAAAATAGAAAATACAGCTAGCGCTCAATGTACAACCACAATTGAGTCCAAAATCTCAGTTGCAAAGTGAGACAGTTGGTTATGTGAATATTGCCCCATTTTATGACCTTTCTTGGCACAGTTGTTAAATGAATCACTGCATTTGTTAAGTTAGTCACACAGCTGTTAAGTGAATCTGGCTTCCCCATTGACTGCTTGTCAGACACTCGCAAAAGGTGATCACGTGATCTTGGGAAATTGCAACAGTCATAAATATGAACCAGTTGGCAATTGTCCGAATTTTGATCACGTGACCATGGAGATGCTACAATGGTTATAAGTATGAAGAATTGTCACAAGTTGCTTTTTTCAGCTACGTTGTAACTTTGAACAGTCACCAAGTAACTGTTGTAGGTTGAGGACTACTGCATTTCCCCGAAAATAAGCCCCAGCATGACTTTTCAGGATGCTCATAATATAAGCCCTACCCCCAAAATAAGCCCCAGTTCAGTTGGTCAGCCAGAAGGACACATTTAATGCCGTATTTCCCCCAAAATAAGACCTAACCAGCAAAGTGTCTCTTTTTGAGAAAATACGGTACCTGTAAATGTTTTACATTTCTGCAAGAAAGTAAACTTGGGTTTTATGTTGGGTTCCCTGAGCTTATTCCTTTGTATGATCTTTTTTTTTTAAAAAAAAAAATACTGGTTGGAATCTGAATAACCCATGTTTAGGAACAAATACGTTGTGCACCATAAAAAAAAAAACCTGCAGCCCACAAGCACATGAATCCTTGTTAGATATCTGCTCTCACGACAATCCAAAATTGTAGATACAGAGTAAACAACCTACATGATTCAGTCTTATTCGCACAGCCGAACATCTGCTTTTCACAGAATGGAAGCAAAGAGTCATACAGAACGCTTAAGCCTCATTTTTTGATCAGCGAAGAGGTTATTCAGCTCATTAGTGATGCTACTTGGGGATTCTGAAAGTTGCATTGCAACATTATCCTTTAAGGATATGTTTACAGCTTACGGGGCTATTTACATTGGTGATTATATGCTTGTCAGGATGTTTATAATCCCACATGCAGCATTTTTGGTCAGAAAAACTTCATGGCCTCCTTGGACTAACAAGTGATGCTTTGCATTCTGCCTGTTATTCGTTCCTATTTTCAGCCGGTCCCTTGCTAAGGTGTAGCCTAAGAAGACCATGGAATTTTTTCCCATGAATGTGTCTATGTGGGGGGATGTATAAAAAGGAATCTCCATGAATCCCTTCTGGATTAGGAGAAAAGAAAAAATTCTGCATCAAGAAAAGTTTCACGATTGGTCCAGTGGTGGGATTCATTTTTTTTACTGCCGGCTCTGTGGGCGTGGCTAGGTGGGTGTGACCAGGTGGTCATGTGACTAGGTGGGCGTGGCTAGGTGGTCCCACCCCCCTTTCGCAGCACCCCCCCCCCCCCCCCCCGCATCCCCCATTTTTTGCCTACTAGGCCTCAGGGAAACCTCCTGATGAGGTAAGTAAGTAAGAAATCAGATGATTTCCTGCTTTCTAGCTAATCTAAATTGCGCGGCACAGCTGCTCATCAGATTTTATTTTATTTTTTTACTACTGATTCAGCCGAACCGGGAGAATACCACCACTGGATGGGTCTCAATTTTCCATGTTTTGTTTTCAGGAAAAAGGCTTGAACTAAGCAGCTTCTCTTGTTGTCAGGTTGAGATCCAAAAATTCACACAAAGAAAAAGGAGGGAAGAGAAATGGCCTTTGATGTTGTAGTGTAAGGTTAAAGTGTTGGATTGGGACTGGAGGGAACCAGATTTAAATTCAACCTCAGCCCTGAAAAACTCAACCAGGGAAATTTGGGACCAATGACAGGTAGTCTTCGACTTATGACCACAATTGAGCTCAACATTTCTGTTGCTAAGCAAGACAGCTATTTTGTGTGTTAACCCTCATTTTACGACCTTTCTTGAAGTGAGTTGCTGCAGTTAATTTAGTAACATGGTTGTTAAGTGAATATGGCTTCCCCGTTGACTTTGCTTGTCAGAAGGTCGGGAAAGGAGATCACATGTCCCCAGGGCACTGCGACCATCATAAATAGGAGTCAGTTGCCAAGCGGCTGAATTTTGAGCCCATGACCATGGGGATGCTAGAACAGTTGCAAGTGTGAAAAATGGTCTTAAGTCACTTTTTAAAGTACCATTGTAACTACGAGCAGTCACTAAACGAATGGGTGTCAGTCAAGGACTGCCTGGACTATCTTTCCCACTTCCAGGAGTAGCTTTTGAAGATTTCCAGTCACGGCGTGACTTTTTAAAATGGCAATCAGCGGTGTCCTGTTTAAGGACGGTGCGGTCTTTCTCAGTCAAGGGGCCTACGCAAGGTGTTTGAGAACCCAAGTAGCATGCAGGTCCTCAGCCACACCGGTGGCCCAGAACGGACTTGAGATTTTAATTCCCTGCCAGAAAGAGCAGTTCTGCTTCACATCACTTCAAGGGAATGGCAGGACCTCAATGTTCCCCCGCGTGGTGCACGGAAGGTCTGAAGCACAGCCCTTGGCAGCCCTCCAGTTAAACAATCTCAGGATGGGAATAATTATAAGGATGGAGAACCCAAAGGGTTGACTGTACAGGGTTAAAATTCGCTGGCCTTCAAGGCAGCTTCCCCTCTTCACAAAGTGTTGTGGCCCGGCGGAGCTGGCAGCAGAACCGGACAGTAGTGAGGAGGTTGGGAGGGGACTGCCTATGTTCCCTTATTCCCCCTCAACATAGGACCACAGTTGGGACCAGAATTTCCATTGTTAAGCCAAGGGAGTTTGTAGGTTGTGCCCAAATTTAGGGCCCATTTTTTTCCGTGATTGTTAAGCTAAATCATTGCTGTTGTCCCAAAGGTGCTTTTTCTAAGAGGCAACTGGACTTTCTAGAATAGGATAGGATAGGGTAGGATAGGGTAGGATAGAACAGAATAGAATTGAATAGAATAGAATAGAATAGAATAGAATAGAATAGAATAGAATAGAATAGAATAGAATAGAATAGGAACTAGAACTAGAACTAGAACTAGAACTAGAACAGATTGAATCAGGAATCAGGAATTGGGAATATAGCTGGAAGGGACCTTGAAGGTCTTCTAGTCCAGCCCCCTGCTCAAGCAGGAGAACCTATACAATCTCAGACAAATGGCTGTCCAGTCTCTTCTTAAAAACCTCCAGTGATGGAGCACCCACAACCTCTGAAGGCAAACTGTTCCCCGGGTTAATTGTCCTCACTGTCAGGAAGTTTTTCTTTGAAGACGTTTCGCTTCTCATCCAAGAAGCATCTTCAGCTTCTGCAATCATTGCCATTGTTGAGTGAACTGTGGGGTATTTAAGCAAATCCAGTTCTCCCCATTGACTTTGTCTGGCAGAAGCTGGCTGGACAGGTCGCAAACGGCAATCACATGACCCCAGGATGCTACAGTTGTCATAAATACATGCTGGTTGCCAAGCACCTGAATGTTGATAATCTGACTATAGGGATGCTGCCATTGGTCGTGCCAGGACTGGTTGTAAGTCACTTTTTTCAGGGCCATTGTAACTTTGAATGGTCGCTAATAGTTGTAAGTCAAGGACTATTTGTACAGGTAGTCCTCAACCTACGACCACAATTGAGCCCAGAACTTACATTGCCAAGTGAGACATTTGTTTAGTGAACTGTGCCCCGTTTTACAGCTTTTCTTGTCACATTTGCGAAGCGAATCACTGCAGTTCTTAAATTAGTAACTTGGTTGTTAAGTGAATCTGGCTTCCCCATTGGCTTCGTTTGTCAGAAGGTCATAAAGGGGAGCACATGACCCCCAGGACACTGCAACTGTCATAAATATGAGTCAGCTGTCAAGCATCCGAATGTAAATCATGTGACCAGGAGGATGTCGCAACAGTTGTAAGTGTGGAAAATGGACATAAGTCTGTTTTTTCAGTGCCGTTGTAACTTTGAACGGTCACTAGGCGAACTGTTGTAAGTTGAGGACTTCCTGTACTATGATTTCTTTGTCGGGTCTTGATTTTTCATCCTATATTCGCTGCCCAGAGTCACAGTTGTGATTGTTCTCGTCCAGGGGTGTCAAACTCGATTTCATTGAGAGTGACATCAGGGTTGTGTGTGACCTCGGGGGCTAGGATGGGCGTGGCCAGGGTGGGCGTGGCCAGCTCGGCATCACTCGTGTCGGGGTGCTTGTGGTGGCCCAAGCGCTCTGCCAGCGAAAACGGGCTTCCAAGCTCTGTTTTTGGCTGCCACGGCTTCCTGCAACCCTCTGCCAGCAAAAATGGAGCCCTCCGGAGCTCCATTTTTGCTGGCAGAGGCATCGGAGGCTGGTCCTTTGCTGTTTCTAGGGTAGCCCCGTGGGCCAGATCTAAACACCCCATGGGCCGGATCTATCCCCTGGGCCTTAAGTTTGGCACACCTGTCCTAGTCCAGACCCCGGCTCTGGCAAGAGACCCTATACCCATGATGGCGAACCTATGCCACGCGTGCCAGAAGTGGCCCGCAAGAGGTTGCCTGGAAGTGCCCCACTGCGCATGTGTGCGTGCCCCTGCGGTTATCCGCCATGCATGCGTGGGAGAAAATGTGCGTGTGGGAGATGTGCACGCATGCACAGAGGCAAGCGGTGCGGGGGGGTCACGGCACATGTGCAAAGGCGTGTGGTGCACACGCA